GGTTTCATGGCTGAATGGGGAATTGAACCCTGGTCTCCAGAGTCAATTCAATCAGGAGGGGAATGATAAGGGTAGCCATGTGTGTTGTGTTGGCTTTCAGTCATTTGATGGTGATCCTAAGACAAGCCTATCTTGGCAAAATTTGCTCAGAGGAGGTTTGCCATGGCCTTTCCCTGAGGCTGAGAGAGTGTGACTGCCCAAGGTCACCCAGTGGTTTTCACGGCTGAGCCGGGAATCGTTTCCAACTTATAGCAACCCTAAGGCATCATGGGGTGTTCTTGGCAAGCTTCATCCAGAGGAGGCTTGCTTTGCCTTCCTCTGAAGCTGAGAGCATGTGACTCGCTCAAGGTCACCCAGTGGGTGTCACAGCCGAGCTGGGAATCGAACCCTGGTCTCCAGTCACAATCCAACATGAAACCACTACACCACACTGGCTCTGGCAAACCAAGGAATCAAACAGGAGGCTTTCCAAAGCACCTGCGTGTTGCATTTGCAAAGTCCACATCTTTCAACGGTGCTCAAAGAGGAGCATCTCGTCTAGCCTGAGGCTTAATTCTCACCTTTCTCAGCCCTCCCTGCTTGTGATTCAATGGCATTTAGTAGAATGAGCTCAGTAGGCCATTAGTTCAAAGGCGCTGGCCTCATCTGTTATTAATGATGATAGAACAGTGCTCTTTCTCTGGGAATCAATAAGTCAAAGTCTCTCTGCCCAGCTGGTGTACAAACCTGCATCTGGGGCGGCAGCCAGAATTGTTAGCCACCGAAAGAGAAGTGATTTTACAAATGCATTTCCAGGCAATGGAGAGCATGCAATTGGATTGTGTTATTATTCATAAAGGGCTTGGCCTTGGTCATATTGAGCCCAGTCTTATTCACAAAGCTTTAAGCCCTGCCAGCTCAGGGAGCAGAAGAAAAAATCCATCCTCCCTCAAAACTAGCAATGAGTGGATTTATTTGGCTTTCTCTAACGTTTGCATTTATTTTTCCCAAGCAAAAGGCTTCATCGGTTTGACAAGGCTGCTTTTAAAAGTCTAAATGAAAACTGAGATACATTTTTGTACACATTTTCTTCTAACGTAAGGGAATTGGTTGTTGTGTGCCTTCAGGTTGTTACTAAATTATGGCAACTTTTAAGGTGAACCTATCATGGGGTTTTCTAAGGCTGAGAGTATGTGACTCGCCCAGGGTTGCCATACGTTGGAAACAACTTGAGGGTACACAACAACAACACATGTATGCACACAGAGGATGCTTTGGACTTTTGGCCCTGGGAGGTAGACATTGGTGGTAAGAGCTGAATTCTGAAGGACAGAAAATCTTGCTAATCGAGCCAACTTTTTAAAATCCCCGAAAATCACTATTGAACATTCCTTAGATGCTTTTGGGGGAGTGGAAGCCAGGGACAGACATATCTAAAGTGCAACAGGTAGAAATCCAACAGGTATGCCTCCCCAAGTGCAGCACCCTCTGTGTCTGCACCAGTCAGATTTCCACCTGCGACATTGCTTTCAAAGACACAGAAGTCCAGGCAGAGAGACGTCAGCCCCACCGATGCAGACACGGCATCCTCCAGGTCACTCCCAGCTTTGAACGGCTGGCCCAGGCTTATTAAATTGAATGTCATCCTTAAGAGCAAATAAATAATCCATGGCTCCAAAGTGGCGGAGGGGGAGGGAGGCTTTCCACCTCTCCTTCCTGAGACACAGCTTTGAAGATATCGTCCCTTGGAAACTACTACCTGCGGGAGCTGACCTGGCTCCATATTGTGGAGACCCCCGGGAGGGAGGCAAGCCAAGCAACGGGCGTTCGACCCTGCATTAAAGCTGGCAGAACAGGCTGGCACTGGGGTGAAGCAGCAGCAAAAGCTAATGGGCAATGCAATATTTAGCATGTGCCCTGATTACCCAGCAAGAAAGCAGAGCACATCTAAAAGCAGAAGCAGAAGTAGAGGAAGGCTGCTTTGCAAAAGGCGCTTTCTCCCAGCTTGAGACAGGAAGGAAGGCTTGGAGGAGGAAAAGAAGGTGTCTTGGGGCATCCCTCTGCAACTCCTGGCTTCCTTCTCTCAGCCCTGAATGATCCCAAGTTGACTCTGAAACAGGAAATATGTTGCTCTCTTGGGATGCTTAAGGACTTACTTATTGGCGTAAAATGCTTACGCATGGCCCAAACTGGCAAATGTAAAGGATGCTTGAGTTTTAAGATCCTTCAGGGGAAGGGTTGCTCTTGGATGTTGTCACTGGCTTGGTAAGGACCTGGGGCCTACTCCAAAGGTGTGGATTTCCCTTCCAGGGGAGGCTTCCTTGGTTCCCTTTCTGCTTTTTAATTTCCCCTCCAGCAGACAAAGACCAGGGTTTTAAAGACAGCTGTTAACAGGCTAGCATTCAAGGGTAACCCTCTTGGCCATAGAGCAAAATCAAACATCTACCAAAACAGTGATCCCTTTCTTGGGCCTACCAAAATGCACAATTACATCTTGCAAGCTTTCAAAGCTCCACTGGCTTCTTCATCAGGCAAAGTATTAACAGGCTGCTTCGGAAAGGGTTTTTTTTTTTTTTTTTACTGTGGAGTGCTATACATTTATCTTTGTCATTGTTGTTGTGTGCCTTCAAGTCATTTCCAACTTATGGCAACCCTAAGGCAACCCTACCATGTTCAGAGGAGGTTTGCTATTGCCTTCCCCTGAGGCTGAGAGAGTATGACTTGCCCAAAGTCACCCCGTGGCTTTACATGGCCAATTTATGGCAACCGTAAGGCAAACCTATCATGGGTTTTTCTTGACATGATCTGTTCAAAAGTGGTTTGCCACTGCCTTCCTCAGAGGCTGAGAGAATGTGACCTAGTAAGTTATATTGGTGTCTTACCTTTCAGGCAGGAGAGACTGAGGCCCATGATTTCATCCTTTTAGCAAGTGGGACCAATTAGAGATGCAAGCGTCCACATTGGCTCCTCTGTCTTATTAAACCTGGAAGGAGCAGAAAGAGAAATGTTTTTACAGCTGTCACTGTATTGGATGGCTCAGAGGTGGGCAACACATGGGCCATTTGTTTGGAAAGGTTTTCCATCTTTTGCTATTCAATTCTTCATTTCCTTGTGCTACTCTTGTTTCCCGAAAAACAAACAAAGAGACCAAACATAGGATAAAAAATCTTGTTGTTTCTACACCTTGCTTTTTGGGTTGTCAGCCAGCAGTTATTAAAAATTCAGGACAGTATAAGATGAATGCACACTACTGCAGAGAAATTGAGGTCACAGGATTTACTCCAGTGCATAACCCTTCCCCATCTTGAAGACTTGGGGCAAAGTCTAAAAATGTGGAAAATAACCATACTCACACACCCACAAAATCAAACAGCCAAAAACATACTGTTGCATCATGCTGGAGTATTGGGTTTTTGTTGTTGTTGTTGTGTGCCTTTAAGCAGTTTTCAACTTATGATGACTCTAAAGCAAGCCTATCATGGGGTTTTCTTGGCAAGTTTCTTCAGAAGGGGTTCGGCTTTGCCATCCTCTGTGTGACTTGCCCAAGGCTATCCAGTGGACTTGCATGGCTGAGCAAGGATTTGAACTCTGTTCTCCAGAATCCTAGTCCAACATCCAAATCATTGTACCAAGCTGGCTCCTCAAAACCACTCTGAACAAGGTCTGGAACCCTGTTAGTGGCATACGCAGATGTAATGTTGCGATACACCTGTTGATGTATGTTTTGGGTAGCTGCGGATGGAGGAAGGAAGCATCTCCACCCACAGTGGTCCCCTGACTACACAACCCATCTCTCTTCTGCCATTTAGTGGCTGGGACAAGACAGAGGGTTGCCAGGTGGTGTTAGATTTTGTTTCTGCAACGGGGCGGTCTTCCAGATGTCTAGGAACATGATGTTATTGGATGCTACCTGGACACAAGATGGACACCATCTGGCTACCCTTCATCCTTCCCTGGCCACTAAACCATTATTAGATGGGACCCAGTGACAGAGAAGAAGGTTGTGGACACAACAAGACAAGACCTAGGGTCACTGACTTCTGCTCAGAGCCTGGAAAGTTACTTTATTAAAGCAACATGTTAACAGCATTTGAGCTTGTTGTTTTTATTCTTATTGCAATGTTCCAAAGCAACATGTTGCATTTCTCGTTACTTTTTCCCCATCGCTTTTTGCTACTTTGGAAGGACTTGGGACTGAAAGGGAAAAAAATGGCATGGCACAGAGTTCAGGAAATTTCGGACAAAACTGCCCTTAAAGTGCCCTGAATAGTAACTAGAAAAAAATATGACAGCATTCGTTATACCAACAGAGTAACATAATTCTCACGCATGATATTAATTTTGAGATGTAACTTCGTTATGTCCTTGCTATCAAAGGAAGAGGCTTGTGACAGTAACACCTTATTTGCAACATGCTACTTCCAAGTTGGGATTTTGAATGAAAACATCGCAGGGCAACTAATAGCCATTGTCTGATGAACTCCTCTAAAAGCATGTTCATTGCCAGCTGAATACTGGGCAGGGCTTTGTCCCAGCCCAATCTCTGCAAGAATAAATCTCCAGAGGGGGAAAAAAAACCTGTCTCTGTTATCTTGACAGTATGGTACAGTAAGGAGAACTTGTCAATATTGGATGATTTAACTCTATGATCAGCAAGCTCAGGTCTGCGTTTAATCATTAACTTTGGCTTTGCTACGATAATGCCAGGATTGTGCATCACGGCAACCAGCTATAAAAAGCTGGCTTTGTTTGATTTGTACCTTGACATTCTGTCCTCACAAGGAGCTGGAAAGTGACATTGACACGTGTTGCTCTTTTGAGATCCCAGGCAGAGCTAGGAAGAAACTCCTGAAGCTGTTGGCTTATGATTTACATCCTGAAATAATCAACTGGTTCCCACACAAAGGATGAATCCCAGGATCCAAAAGGGATCCTGTAGCACTTTAGAGACTAATGTTAGTCCCAAAGGTGCTACAAGATCCCTTTTCATACTGATATTGCAGACTAGCATGGCTATGTCTCTGAATTCCAGGATGTTCTGGTGGTTTGGGTAGTTGTTCAGCAGATGGATATTATCATGGTAGCCTCAAGGCTATGAAATTGTGGTGAAGGGATCAGGGAGATATAGCATAAAGGTCCATCAGGCAGAAACAGAACTAGACCACACCTTCTCCCTCAATGCCCCGAATCCACCTTTTAGCTGCTGCATTCCTCACCCCACATGGCTACATACTGGTGAACAGAGAATAGGATGGTTGTTGAAGATAAGCATTCAGGTATGTTCCTATAACTTGGCATATAGAAGCAAAGCATCTTCTGTGAGTGTGACCTCCTGGAAGGTCCTGGCAGATGACACCAGTGTTGTGAACATAGCTGGATGCTTCTCCTCCACACATCCACTCTCCACTGGCCAGTGAATGGTTGTTTTGTGAGTGGGATGCTACAGGTAAAAACTG